TATGCTGCCATGTCATGATACTATGCCATGCCATGATACTATGCCATGCCATGATACTATGCCATGCCATGATACTATGCCATGTCATAATACTATGCCATGCCATGATACTATGCCATCTTTGTCAAGGTACATGTGTACGGATGAAGAAAAGCCTTGGGATCACGCACAGGGCAAAAAGTACCGATAACTGCTTGTTTTATGAGTCACTACGATGTAAGGAACATCCAAAAGGCAGACGTGTGCATCCCATAGATATTCACAGTGAGGGCTGCAGGTTTTATCTAACCTGGGTCTCTATGGATGTAACATTAGTCTTAATCCTCTGCGTTCAGTCACTCAATATTGACTTTTAAAAGTGATCAAAGCGTACCTTGTTAGGTGGATAGAAACTAATTACTGGTAAACTGTGAAGTTTGAGGTGCACATTTTGAAAAATAAGCAGCAAATTCACTATCGTGTTTACAGGGAGTTCAGTGATAGTTGAAACGGATCGAGGGACAATTTTACAAGCCTAGAGAGTGTCTGACTGACCTCACCTGCAGACCTCTACAACCCAGTTCTGTAATATGGATGGCTGCCGTGAGAGCCGTACATCAAACATTAGTACCGTCCGGGGCTTTGACTGCACAGAACCATACAGACTCAGAGTGCATCAAAGATATGAACCAGCCGGACTTTCTCGAGCCAAAGCCGAAACATGTTCAAATATTTAATCCTACTTTAAGATTATTCGAATTCCATGCATTTCAAACACATCCTGTCCTCACTGTCAGTACTTTGACCCCCAGCATCCTATCTTCTTTTTTGGCATGTGGATGTTAATGTGAGGGGATCGCGGCACCAAAGCAGGCACCCCCGTCCTACACACCTTGCTCCGAGCATCTCTCTTTGCGAAGATTTCCAAGTTTTGTGCTGTCGAGGAGTCTCTTTTTCTCCCTCTCTCTCTTTCATCTCGCCTATCTCTTTCCCGCTCCCTTTCTCGTGGTCCTCGCTCATCTCTCACCCATTCTTCTCCCCCGTATGTGTTGTTTCCTTTTTTTCCAATCTCTCCGACCACTCTCCTCCCGCTCTCTGTTCTCGTCTCAGGCTTTGTGAGTTTTGATAACCCGTCCAGTGCTCAAGCCGCCATCCAGGCCATGAACGGCTTTCAGATAGGCATGAAGAGGCTGAAGGTGCAGCTAAAGCGGCCGAAGGATGCCAACCGACCTTACTGACTCGTCTGCTGTCCATACCCAGGTACGGTAACACCCATACCATAATACAGTGCCATACCATAATACAGTGCCATACCATAATACAGATGATACTATGCCATGCTATGATACTATGCCATACCATAATACAGTGTCATACCATAATACTATGCCAATTCATGATACTATGCCAATTCATGATACTATGCCATGCTATGATACTATGCCATACCATGATACAGTGTCATACCATATACTATGCCATGCATGATGCCATCCATGATACTATGCCATGCCATGATACTATGCCATGCCATGATACTATGCCATGCCATGATACTATGCCATGATACTATGCCATGCCATGATACTATGCCATGCCATGATACTATGCCATGCCATGATACTATGCCATGCCATGATACTATGCCATGCCATGATACTATGCCATGATACTATGCCATGCCATGATACTATGCCATGCCATAATACTATGCCATGCCATGATACTATGCCATGCCATGATACTATGCCATACCATGATACTATGCCATGCCATAATACTATGCCATGCCATGATACTATGCCATACCATGATACTATGCCATACCATGATACTATGCCATGCCATAATACTATGCCATGCCATGATACTATGCCATACCATGATACTATGCCATGCCATAATACTATGCCATGCCATGATACTATGCCATACCATGATACTATGCCATGCCATGATACTATGCCATGTTATGATACTATGCCATGTCATAATACTATGCCATGCCATGCCTGTTCTCAAACTGTACTATTTACTTCAATGGTTTAGTTCGTATCGCTGCCAAATAGGATTTTTCAAGAGAGCATTGGCTGAAATCTGGATCAAATTATTATGTGAGAATTATTTCAAGTTCAAATCTACTCTATGTATGATCTTTACTTTAACATAGGTGTATCCATCAATTCAATAACAAAATAAAATCGAATTTTTAACATGAAATTCATTTTAAATCAAGTCATCGGCAACTTTTTTTAGTTGTTTGGACTGCAACTGTACATCCAGGGCAAGTCGGAAATAAACCTACAAGAATCCTCCAGTCTTACGAACAGTAGAAACCCCCATCACAACCCATTAGCAAAGAAAATACTCATTGTGGAAATGTACATAAACTATTATGACAGACTAATGAAACAACACAACGGATGAATTATCCAGTTAAATATTAAATGTGGTCAAATAGGGAAGCAGTTAAAATCCAAAATGTGGTAATCAAAATCTGACTCTGTCACAAGGAGCGAGACATTTTAAGATATTTTTAGGTTAACGTTTTATTTAGGACATTAGCCAGGGAGGCTTAAGAGTTTGAAGAAGGCACAGGCTGTCTTCACTTAGGCTCCACTTAATGTGTTTGTTTCTTCTGATGTTTGAAAATAAATGTTTACCTGCAGGAGAAGCTGTGCATAATTACCCATCCACTGAGGGTGGTGATGAGAATCGATGCAAGTTGAGCCACAAGTTAGCAGTTTGTTCACTCCTATGATAGCTTTAATCAGATTTCTGTCAGCTTCTTAGCAACATCTAAAGGTGTTGTCAGTTAAATATTTACTTATGGAAGCATTCATCAGGGAGCCGCACAATGATAGTATATTTTTAGTATAACAAACTTTTACAGAACTACTAATGAGCATGATGAGTGGTTCCTACACACAAAAAAAACAAAATATGTTTAATGTAAAAGCACTTAAACATGATTATGCACTTGTATAATGGTGGTAAACAGCACAAACCACAGTTAGCACTATTTGGTTAGTTCAAGTAATACTTCACTAAACTCTCCTTTAAATGAAAGTTCCACTTTAAATGTTGTGTATCTCATCGTGAACTGTGACATCGTTTATCAATCAATTTTCATTTAGTCATCCAATTAACAGTATTTTCTCATATGTCATTTTAATTGCAACGTTAGGGTTACTGTTAATGATTTGACCATGGTTACAAATAAATAAATACAAATAAACTAGACAGAAACACATTGTATTTCTAACGCCTAATTAAATGCTAATGTGTTATTTTGCTCAGGAAAAAGTATTCAAAAGGATTGTTAAAGTTCAAACTCACTTTGCCAGTATTTAAACATTCACAGCAACATTGTTAATTTAATACAACTCAACAATTTCAATTATAATATACTTAAATCCAGTTAATTGTGACAAAATAGCACTGAATTATGCCAACATGTATCTGCTCTTCCTAACTTTTTAATCAGTCAGTATCCACTAACAAAGCATAACAAACACTAGCTCTTAAAACCAGGTATATTCAATGCCTAACAATTCCTCGTTTGGACCTTTACAAAGTCAAAGCTTTCCTACTAAATAATAAAAAGAAAGCTTCACTTTAAAGTGGCACCATCCTTCAATGAAGACTCATTTCACAGTGTCAGGCTTGATTCAAAAGAATCATCCCCCATCTGTTACAAAGTGCAGCTGCCAGTGCAAAATAATATAGATGCTTCCTCTCTCCGCTCAATTGGCCAGACAACTTTTCATTACAATAACATACGCCTGGATTATATTCCTCCATAAATAAAAGCATGGTAATACCGTTTGTTTGTTTTAGATGTGACTCCTTAAAAGCCACAAGATGGCATTAATGGAAGGTGGTGTGCAATACAAATGATAGATGCCTCCTTTATCTCTTGCTTGATAGCGTTTGAATGGAGTCGTGTCCTGCTAATTGAGGAGAAGCTTTCAAAGCACCCTGAGAAGAGAGAAGGGGGGGGGGGGGATTTGAATTTAGCACATCAATGGGGAACAAATGGAAAATATCCTGCTACAGCGCTGAACGACAGGGCAGCCATTGAAATGTACTCTGGATGTCGCCGAGTACAGACATTTCCAACAATAATGTTCTGTCACTATATCAGGAAGTGTGTGTGTGTGCTTGTCGGTGTATGTGTGTGTGTGTGTGTGTGTGTGTGTGTGTGTGTGTGTGTGTGTGTGTGTGTGTGTGTGTGTGTGTGTGTGTGTGTTTTCATGTCCTCCTTCGTCTCTGGTCTGGTACAATTCATCTGTGTTTTTCTTCTGTTATTACACCACTTCTATTGTTTGAGTTAAGGAAAAGCAATAGACCAAATCCAAGAGCAATCACATGAAAACATTAAAGAAAAAAGACCCCAGTGGTGCTCCTAAAGCCAGCTCCTGGTTTATAGATTCTTAAAAAACCATGAGGGATCGAACATAAAGAAGTTGGATTTGACAAATTGAACCAATCTACTTTTAGGCATATTTTTCTCTTCTCATGAATTGCCTTGTATTGTGGAAGACGGTACATTGAGTTTTTGAGCAAAAGACTGAAATAAGTTCAACTGTAACTGTTTAATTTTCTAGAATGAACTGCATTATGATGATGACATTTTTTTTTCGTGTTCCTTAGGTATAAAACTTCAATATGTAGATAAGTTCAGAAGCCCCCATTTCTTCTCTCTCATACTGACGATTCGCTTTGAAGTTGAATTAAAAACACGATCAGACAGCATTCTCTCCTGCTGGTCTCAGGAGCCCTGCTACTCTGAAATTGCGTTCTGTGTCTTAAAGATAAACTTAATGCAAAAAAAAAAAGCCGAGGCCCTCACTGTACGGCCACCCTCATGGCAAACAATGCAAGGCAAATCCAATTACTGTAGACAGGACAAGTTTCTGAAATTTGCATTCCTGCCTTAAGGGTTATCTTTGAGAATATAAAAACATCTATTCAACCTTTTAACCTGCAAATGTTGTCAGCCTGAGAAAACTTCACAACGCACACAAAAATACCCTTTTTTGTGTTGAAGATTATGTGTTCTGTTATTTCTGTTTTACTTGTCAATTTCAGTTTTTATGGTAATGACCATAATAACCTCATTTGATTTATCAGGCAGAATAAGTGAGAGTGTGGAATACGTGTGGAAAGGGTGCTTTGAATTATGACGTTAAGGAAGAGAAAATCCCACTGTTTCTTTCCTTCTTTTGCACCCCCACCAACCTGGCAACCTGACCAACCAATCACAGTGTGAGGTGGCCTTTCTCCGCTATAGCCACCTCCCACCCACACCTGTCATGGGGCCAAGTTCCCACAGCTGTAAGTTGAACCCATGGTGTCATTTTCTTTTGGATGACGTCATGTGGTGGGACTGTGACTGCGTTGCATGACGTGGCGTTGATTGATATCTCTAAACTCTATCTCTTCTGCCCTCCGTTTTAAATATATATAAATATATATATACTGTATTTTGTATATTGGCAGTTTGTGGAGTGCAGTAAAACGATGCCTTTCTTGGCTGTTGTACTTAATGTAACTGACGTGCTAAATGGTTGGTTGATTATAACTGGAAGTGGCCTTTAACCCTTTGTGCTATTGTACCGTGTGCCCTTGTGATGTTTTACTTTCTCTTGTGGGGTCCATGTGTATGGATGTACTGTATTTTCTATTTCTCTATTTCTTCACATTCACGTCAACCGTGTTTTTTCTCCAGCAAACTTGTTTTTTTTTATTTTTTATTAATAGTCTGAATCTCTTTAAAAAGGACTATTTTCTGGCCCCGATCGACAGCTGTTTAGTTGAGATGCCAGGATGACCCTATGTTTGTGTAGCCAATTAAATCTCCAGCATTCATGCAGAGAGCAACGGCAAATGTTGACACTCCACTTCTCCGTGGATTCCATCTGCACAGGGAGTACTTCTGCAAGATTGTTTTGTTTGCCTAACATGAGAATCGCTTCCCATGTATTTATTTATGAGGATGCAAACCAATTACGCCGTGATAGCAGAGCTGCAGGCAGCACTGCAGACCCACATGGCCAAAATATGTCCAGCGTACTGTACACACAGACGTATAAGTAAGAGCAAAATGATGAGTATTTGCTTTTGCTTTTAGAAGGATTATGCCACCAGATAAATTAGCGCTTATATTTTACTTGCTTGTATCTGAGATAATTGTCTGTTTAAAAAAGACAAGGCAGTTAACAGCTTCACAGTGAAAAGCTCCTTTCTTAGCAAGTGAGTTTGTTTCCATTCCTCCAGGCCAAACCCTGATAAGAGTTAGTCGTTTTCATCGAACTCGTACAGCCCCATTCTTTCAGAAGCCCTGCAGGCGACTCTCCCTCCCGTAGTCTATCCAATGAACACAGGAGGGGTGTCTAGCAGGAGAAAACGGGAGGGATAAGGTCTTTCTGGCATCATAACTGCAAGGTGCCTTTTTTATGGAGCCATCTAAGTAGGTGGCTGTTTGGCAGGAGGGCTGTGACAAAGAGCTTGTGAAAAAAAGGAACTGAATTCTTTATTATCTGACGAAGTTGGAGGGTGAAATACTTGGGAGGTTTTCCAAGAGGCTGTTTACTTGGGGGAGAAAAAAAAAATCTACTTTAAAGCCACTGTATATTTCTTCTTCTCTGTGGTAGATGAATATAGCGCCAGTGGCTTATAAAAGAGGGCATCTGTAATTGTGACGGTTAGTGCTTTATGCTGCTAATGGCCGGGGCTCGCTTTGGCACACATAAGAAATAAGCTAGAATCTCCGCTCTCACATCTTAAAAGCAGATCTATTATGAAACTGTAACAAGCTCATTTACAGGAATGGAGCGGTAGAACAAAGAGCGTCTGGGCGCGCGTGTTCCCATCACAAAGTCAGTCCCTTTCATGTTCGCTCCCGGAGAGTGATTTGCTGTGATTTCATAGCCTTTCTTCACCTGCATCATAGCTCACAACATATTAGGGATGATAGGCTGTACACTAGATCTTTTGTATCCAAAGGTCTGCAGCACGGACACTTATAGTGACAGTCGACACAAAGGCGGATGCTAGATAGGCTTTCCGTGGTATCCTCATTACAGGCAATTTCTTCAAACATCTATTTCTTTTATTTCTTTTTATATGGTACAACCATCAGTTTTTCTGTCATAATCATTACTCGCACTCGTCTTGTTTTCTTTATGTTTCCTTCGTGTTCTTTTGGTAGTTTGTTTGTAATGAATTAACAACAAGATGAATGACAGCAACATCTCGGGCAACACTCGGCTGTGTTTCTTTCCATGCAGGGAGATGTAGTCGGTTTAAATTAGGCCTCCCTTGGATTAGTGCTGTCACAGTGTAGATGTCTGTTCCATATGGTTAAAACACAAATCTCCCACCCCACCTCTAGCCCACTTATTTCTGGTTTTGATTGACACACTCCTCTTTTTTTTTTCTTCTCCTCCCCGTCTGTTTCTCATGCTGTTGGCTGTGCCTGTCAGTCTGTGTGATAACCAGGAGCCAGCAACCCCGAGCATGTTTGCCGCAGCCTCACTAAATCCACTCTCCTTATTCTCCCCTCTCTTTCAACCTACCTCTCGCTCTGTCTCTGTGTCACAGGATGAAGGGCCACAACACCTTATTTCCACAAGTGCAGTAAAAGTACAAAGACTTCTTGCTCTGCTACATATCATGAAGGAAGGGTGGTCCCTTGATCCTGCTGAAAACCCGCTGAAAGATTGGGTGGCTGAGAAAAAGGATCCCAGAGTTGTTGTTGTTTCCTTTTCTTTTTTCTTTCTTCGCACATGCCTCTTTTTTCCCTGTTTTGCTTTGGCGGCTGTGGAAGAAGATTTTTTGCAGAGACCAACTTTTTGCTGCTGTTTTTTAGACATGATGGGGGAAAAAACCTTTATAGACTCATTATGCTCAAAGCATGCATACTGACACAGGATATAGATAAACACACATAACAAACAAGACATACACATTTGAAGATACTACACTTAAAAAACAATGAAAAATGAAAAAAATGAAAAACTTTGTACATCTATAAATACGTGCAAATGCCAACTCAAAGACGCAAACACGTGCGTGTGCGCACACACAAACACACACAAACACACACACCAGCCTGCTGCCATTTTGGTTTTTGTGCCTACACAGGTGTTGTGCTCTGTGACAGGGCGAGCTCTGGATCAAAGAAGAAGAAGAAGAGGGAGAAGAAGAGGAAGAGGAGGGAGAGGAGAATCCAGGATAATTTACATGCATCATTCCTTAGGAAATAGGGACCAAAGGACTAAACGCTTTTTAAAAGAATATAAATATATAAATATATAAATATATATTTAAAAACTCATACCTTGTAGCTGCAAGTATTACAATTTACTCGTAGTCAAAAAAATCATTAAATCAATATCCAGTGGCCTACTGTAAGTATGAATAAAAGAAAATGGAAATAATGTATAAAAAAAGAAATGGCATCGTAGTATAGGGGATGATCTTTTGCTCTGGATGCTGATTTAGCGCCAGGTTGTAGTATAGTAAAGTAGATTAGAAAAACAATGTAGATTTGCTAACTTTTGCTGTTGTTTAAAAAAAATACTTGAAGTCGTAATGAAAAGTGGGCAAAAGTGAAGGAAAATGGAAAACATTCATCCGCCCCTGTACGCAACGAGTCTCTTTCTCTTGGATGTTAAGGTATCAGCCACTGGATATCTCGCTCATCATGATGTTTAAGTCACCGCACTCTCTGACAGCTATGAACAGACTGTTCTGGAAGAAAAAAAAGTGTAAAAAAAAAGAAGACAGAACTAACTCATGTCTGTGCTGGACAGGGTGTGCAGACGTCTGAGGCTTCTCACTGGCCTTTGTGTTCAAGCGACAATCCACTGTAAAGACCAAGCAAATGGACATGGGGTGTGTTTTTCTTTTTTTTCTTGACCTTTTGTATTGCAACAAGGAGTGTGAATTATGAAGCCACAAGTTGTTAAGGGGTAATGGTTCTACTTAGAGAGATGGACAAATGGACGGTCATGAGGGCAACAGAAGGTGACAGCTACTGAAACTGCCAGCAGAATGAACTCAGTATACAAATGAAATGGCCCTTAGGAAATCTGTCAGAAAAAACGAAGTATGCCTGGTGTACACAAGCAGGACAATAACTGACAGGCCAAGGATACACACTATGTGTCCACTGCATCAGCTGCAAAACCCGGATACATTTCACCTCCTGTCTCCTTGCAGAGAAACACTCCCTGAAGACAAACTATTTACGGTATCAATGGCAAGGAAGTGCAGGCTTTTAGAGCTAATTTTGCTCTGTCAAATATAATGTAAATTCCTCTATTAACATGTTCCCCGCCCTGCTTTTCATCATGTATTATACAAAGAGCCAACGCTTAAACAGACAATATTTAAACTCCATTATTCAGCTCGCTTGTAGCCACCCTGACACTGACGCCAGGCAGGACAGAGAAAAGCACTCCACTCTTGTCATGTCCTGATTTAAAGCCTTTATTTTGACTGTTTTAGAGCTCTGGATGCAGGCTCTTCTCTAAAAAGCAGATCAATATGTTTGGCATGAGTCTAGAGGGAGGAGCGATGCTGCTTCAGTCACTCTCAACACTTCCCAATTTTCTCACCAGCTCACATCCGTACACCAGCCCTTTGAGCGGTGGCAGCTGGCGGTAAGAGGCATGGCTAGGCAAGGAGGGAAGGAGGGGAAGAGAGGAAGTCAACAACCAAACATGACATCAGGATCTTTCAGACATATGCTTCTAGGATAAAGGCCAATGACTTAATCTGGAAATGTAGAAGCTGTAAACAAGCTCCTGGTGGCAAACACTATACTGTATGTGCTTTTGAAAAACAGGGTTCAAACGTTTAGAAATTAGGCTCAAATCCAACCAATTCCTATTTACTACTGAGACTAATAAAGGTATTCTGATTCTGACTCTCCTCCTTGCCATTCCATCCTTTTTACCGCTAGCTTTGCTCAGAGAGAAATATAAAAAATCACTGAAGGAGGGACTGAAACATGTGCCAGCCAATAGCTAAATGCACCGCTCTTCTTGGAGATTTACATAAGCGGAAGGTTTTAATTTGATATCAACGTGCCATATAACCCCCTCTCTTTCCGGTGTCCTAAGAGCAGCCATGCCTTTCTAAACCTCTGTGCAACTGTTCAGCAGCTCTCTCCCCTTGGAACAGCATTTTCAAACCTGGCTAATGTCTGCGCTCACTACCCTTCAATTATCTCCTGCACCGTATTAGACATGCTATTTCACCTTTCCCTCTAATCACAGTGTAATCACCAGCCTCTATACATTAGCAGCAACCAAGTGAAAAATCACCGGGATAATCACTTGGACCAAATGACGGGAGAGATGGTCCCCTGCATGCACGTGGATGACAGAAGGAAGATTAGAGAGAATTATGTTTGTGCCTTCTCCCTGGCAAGGCTGCTGACAGCTGACCTGGCACCAATAACACTGCGAAATGTACTCAAAGCGGCAAAGGAAGATGTGGGATAAAACCTTCCATGTCATAGCAAGGTGTTTAAAAAGGAGATTAGCAAAAACTAAAAGAGAAAGCTGGACGATACAACCATATTCTTCAAACACTCAAATTGGGTCAAAACCAACAATTTAAAGGAAAATCTGCAATTCTTAAGAAGTATCTTCATCTCTTTTTATTTCACAAAATGTAATTGTTTAATAAATACACGCATATACAATTATTGCAAAGCACCTGAAAGAATATTTTAGAAGCACAGTACTTCTTTAGTTTGAAATTTGTGGCCATTAAAACACAGCTTTTTAAACATGGTATTCAAATAAAAAGTAGAGTAGCCCTCCCATTCAACGATTAATTGGAAGCTATAGTGGAAATGCAGTAAGCTACATGTTTTGTCGTTGAGTGAAGTGGGTCAAAACAAAGCCATGTTCTGCAAACCGATTTGTGCTCATTCATGTGAAGCTGAACTAATCGATGGGAAATCTAATGTTGCATGAGCAATGACATTTCCTGTGCTTGTCTCTGCCATCTTTAGAATACATTCTGCGAGTGAGGCGCTGTCAGGCTGAACATGAACTCTGCATGCCTGCTCCGCTGATCTCCTCTCTGTCTTATATCTGATGCTGTGTGAGTTCCCTCTGCTAATGGCAGGTTGAGTCCCCAGTGAGCCAAACAAAACCTCGCCTGGTATCCTGCTGTCTGCTTGGCTAACAGTGCAGTGTTCATGTAGCATCAATGCTATGCCAGGGCTAAATTAGGCTTTGTGAAATCAGAATTTCAACACTTTTAACAACGGTTGCTGTTATAGCTTATACACTCAGGGGAGGGTGTTACTGAGGTGACGTGCATTACAAACAGAAATAGCTCTGAAACCTGCTCGGAAACTACCAAAACATGAAAAGGAAGTAGTCTCCGCCCGCCCTGTCTGTCTACTCTTGTTATAAATCCAGGCCATGTTTCACCTCTAAGAGCAATGATAAACCCAGAAGGCACTAAGCTGTTGCCAAAAAGGATATTGTGTATGTCCTCTAATTTAAAAAGATAAAAAAAGAACATGGCATTTTAACCTAAAGGAATCAGTATGAATCAAATTATTGTGAGAGTAAAACATGCAAAGCAAATCCTTCAAGGCAATGTCAAGTATTATGTCCATACCCCCGAAGCATACAGCTTTTCTTCTCTTCTCACACTGCCTTTTTTTTTTTTTTAGCAATCAGTGATTTAGTGTGCACATATCCAGCACTCTCAGTATGAGCTCACTGACACTGATGCGTGCACCCACTCTGACCCTGTATTATTAAACGAGAATTTGGGGGGTTTATACATAATATACCCTTTTCCTCAGCTGCCACTACACCACTGCTTATAAGGTCAGTTCTCTAGAGGACCGTGTATCCTTAGAAGGCCCCAGCCAATGGCAGGCGGAGTAGAGAACTGCTGGAGCATGTCTACGAGTCCCCAACCCCCTGGGTGCATAACACTCACCCTAAAATAGCAGAGATTGTCAAGGAAAGGAAGTGAAATGTAATTGACTGAAAGTGGAGAGATAATTAAAGGAACCTGTTGGACAGGAGGGAAGAAATTAATGCCTCTCATTTAATAGCTGCTTTGGGAGAGAGCTTTTCCGTCATTTCACTCACTTTGCAGCGGAGAGGGTTTTGCTGTGGAAATGGGATTTAGTATGGAAAAGGGGTGGAGATTGAAACAGGCACTGGGTGGCGGGGGTGCTTTGTGCTAAACTGACACTCCACAAAATCACTCCCAATGCTCAAGGCATCAGGCGCTATGATGTCATGATTAGTGGAGAGGTTCAGAGCCTTGCATTATCCATGATCCTGAGGGAGGTCGGGCAGAATCACATATAAGAAGTGAGCCAGCAGAAAGGCAGATGAAACACCTTTGCATGTATTGTATCGCCATCCAATTCCAACTGACTAACTAACTAACTACAAAGAAACCTGCCATTTTTCGCACAGTGAAACGCTGAAGGTGTCTGATTACATTCAACAACATGGCTGACAGTAATGAAGACTTTTTGTATTCCTTAATGTAAATAGCCTATTAAATACAAAAACAGAGGACGGTTGTATAGCAGCTGGTGTTGAGAATCCCAACTCTGTGGGACAATGATGTCACTATAAAATGTATCCACAGCAGTGCAGGGATCTAGGAGAGTTGTAGTTCCCTTAAGCCCCTTAAGTTTGGGCTCTGAACATGAACAGCATCCTACAACCCTGAGCGTCGGACCAAGGCTTAGGGAAGTGTTTGACTTAGTGTCAAAGCTAAGCCACAGCCCCGAAGTGATCCGTTAATTAAGATTCTGTGTTCACCGACTTGTCATGATTTTTCTGACAGAAGGAAGATCGCCTGTGCGGTAATTGGATTAGTCCATTTGGGGCTGATGAACAGATATGACAGTGACAGTAGAGTTCATCCATCTGCATGCTCACCGCAAAAAACAAAAAAAATGCAAAAAGCATCAGCCATCACGACTACACTTTTTAAAATTCATTAGAAGTGAAAGTTTGGGCTTTTTAAGGAGGTTAGTTTTGCAAAAATGTAAACTCCAGGTTCGTTCGACATGTACATAATTCATTTTCGAGTCACACGGTGGAACCCACATGTACGTGGTTCGGCCACGATTGGAGGAAGGGGAGAAACAAGAGAACATTTGTTGTAGAACCCAGCAGAACCCCCTGCCAGCTCGACCCAATCTGCCACAGCTCTCCTTGACCACACAGCTGCGTTTCTCCTGTACATACAATATAGCTTATTTTTCAATTATGTTGAACCTTCTTTATAAGCCGTACAATAGAACATGTTCAAACGTTTAAAAAAGAAAAAAGAATAGTTAATATATTTCAGTGAAACTAAGAAAAAGGAACCTATGAAATAATTTATCCAAATGATGAAATGATGTTATTTCTTGTATAGTGAAGCACTGATGTTCAAAAATGGGATTTTATACTCATGTTGGTTCTTTTATTTCTTTTCTGCTTTGTTATTATCTGCTGAAGCTGGGATAGACCCATTGTCATGAGGTTTATTCGGATATACTTTGATCATTTTTTCTTTATTCTGTTTTTTTTCTGGCTGCACAATCCCTGTATGAAATCCCTCGCGGATGGGCAAGTTCAAAGAGGTCTTTTTTGCTCACAGGAAGCTCTTAAATCAATACAAGAATTAACAAACTGCACTGTAAAATGGATAATTGATGGTACCTGTCATGTGGATTCAGAAAAATGAGTCCAATGCATAACTGGGTTTAAACGAATCAGCATTGCATGTTCAAAAAGAATCTCATTTGAGGCCTTTTGTTGTTTGGAGAAAAAAAAAAAAGACAAAAAAATGTCAAACTTTTCAGTCAGAATGGTTTGAGACCGACGCTGTCATATCTCATTGTCTTTAGGCCATTTATGTAATGTTTTTATCTTGTCTATCTCTATCACAATGTAATTGTTATTTACTTTTTTTCAAAGGGTTGACATATCTGTTCATTTCATCTTCTCTGTTATTACAAAAGAAACGTTTTTTTTCCACGGTTTATCTGATCCCATCCACTGAAGACATTGTACCAACAGTAGATAGCGCCACATTGCTTTATTCCAGTCAGGTTGACTTGTTAACACAAGGAGGGAATTCTGCCTTAAACCCAGCCTGTTCTCTCCGACAGTACTACCTGTGAGCCGCGGTCAGACACACTGTATTCTGGGGATGCCAAATGTACTATCTTAAAAAAAATCTGTTGTGAAGACATCATACACTCCACCAGTCAGTTTTGCCTCAAGCCCATTCTGACACACATTTAGGATGTGGTCACCCACCTCCATTTCCATTGGTTACAAGGACCAAAATGTAAACAGCTAACTGAGCAGTTTGCTCCAATCAAGCATTCAATGAGAGCCTTTAAAGAATTTACATTGAGTTGTAGGTGACTTTGCACCATGTATATTTGTATCATAAATCATTACATTCCCAGCTTCACTATCTAGTTTCATCTATTCATATGTTCTCATGACTTGAACAATCTTTTTTTTTTTGGTTTAAAACAGAGATGTAATTTGAAATAGCGTTGGCTCGGGTCCCTGATTCGGGGTGATATCTCCTATAGTGCTCCTGAACTCTGTAGTTCTCTAGTTCATTATATTCTGCTTAGACTAAAATAAAGCACAGTCCTGTAGAAGATTGAGCCTGCTTTGTCCTTCCTTTTGTATCTATTCACATTGCTTTATTTAATAAATCCTGAAGGTCTGGATCAATCCTGGTGTGCATGCATGACCCTGTTTGCAAAGACTTGAAGCGTTCTCTGTCCTCTTGTCACTTGGATTGTGGAGAGAATGCATTTAGGACATGTCATTGTTTTAATTGAGCTAACAGCGCTAACCATATCCGAATACCAAATTAGATGAGACGGTTAGTAGAAAATCGTTTAAAAAGGGCGAATAATGCATAATAAATGGAAGGGAGATTGGAAGAGGGAGGGGAATAAATTGTGAATTGATTAAAGGGAAATGGATATTCAGCTCTTGTCTCGTGGAGGTGTTACAGTGGAAACAAATTCAGGTGCAATGGCCGTTATCGTCTGTGAATAAGAAACAGGAGGTCAATCGATTAATCAGAGGTTTTCCTCATGCTGCGTTTTATCGACAGAGACGTTACGATAAGGAGAGTCGGGTCACATTGAAGCCCGTGCACGGTCAGTGTCCTTTTTACGGCCCAGTGTCCTCCTCCTCCTCCCTCATTAACCCTCGAGTCTACCAGCAGTCACCAGGCGCCTGAAAACCCATTACAGCGGAAGGAAAAGTCCATACCATATTGTGTCTCGCCACTAACCAGAGCCCACTGTGCACAGCATTTAAAGGTCCCATGTCATGGCCATTTCTACTAATCATAATCATATTGTTGAGGTCTACTAAAATAGATTTATATTGTGCAATGTTCCAAACTCACATTGGTTTCTCATACAGCATCTCTGTATAGTATGTGTATTCATTCTCTGTCCTAAACGGCTTGTTGGAGCTCCTGCCCCCCCCCCCCCTGTGAGCCCAGTGGCCGTCTGCGAGACAGCGAGACACAGCGAAACCCAGCCCGAAACCAGCCCGAGCACACACACACACACACACCCGCAGCCTGGCTGGGAGTATGTGTGTGTGCTCAGACTCACAGCCTCGCCACGTCCCGCCGTCTCAGGGAGGAGAAATCGGCGGAGCTGCAGCTGAGAAAAGATTGAGTGTGTGTGTGTTAGGAACGTAACGGCTCCGCGGATTGGTCCATTTGGGTATGGGCACGTCACCATATCCAGGAAGAAAACAATGGAAAAAGAGAAATCTCCAACGAGGCGTTCTGGGGCAGCATAGACAGGTATTTTCTGTGTTAAGAGTTTTACTCGCTACAGGATGTGCTTTGAGGGTTTGTAACTTTGCAGACCGGTTACATGCAGAAAAACCTTCATAACACACAAGGGGACGGGTAATAACCGGAAAAGCATGACATGGGACCTTTAAATTGTTTCCTTGAAAATCAACATGGTCCAACAATTTCCCGCAGCTTCAACTGTCCATCACAACAAAGGGAAAACATCAAAAGTCCCTGACAGTAATTGTTCCCAGAGCCGAGTATGACACCCCAGGGAGCAGCAATGACCAAACCATCCCAAGACACCAGACATCATTTCTTGTTTATGGGCCTCTCCGGTGCGTCCGTGTAGTAGCATTGGTGTGGAAACAGATTTATGGTTGCTAAATTTGCAGGTGATAAAAAGGCCAAGAGTGCCCAGTCGAGGCTCTAACTCTCGGCTATTCACATGTTGACTCCTGTGCCGAGTCCCCGGGGACCCTTCCTCATTGTGCGGCAGACACTCCATGATTCCACATGACAAACTGGATTGTTCCTCGAGTGAGTCCTGCTGAATTATTTGGGTCCTTTCGATTGCATCTCCTACCCCTGAGATTTTCCTCTACTGTTCCCTTAGAGCCATAAGCCTCGACAGCCAGCGTTGTCGATACTCAATCTGTTCTGTAACCCCTAAAGCTAATGAAATGTGCTAACAGGGGTTTGTTTGTTTGTCTCCAGGAGGGGGGCAAGGGGAAAGAAAATGGAACAACAAGACTCTTTTGACAGTTCCATTTTTTCCAATGTTTTGGAGTGAGGGATAATCATGAAGTATGGATTGGATAGGGGAAAGTTATTATGTTTTGTTGTCTTTATCCTTGTTTGAGTTGTACAGAAAAAAAAGGTCAGGTTGTTCCAAACATGGCTTTTTGCAGCTCTGGGATGTATTCTCAATTCTAACTCTCCAACTCTTAGTGTGGGAAAGGAAAAATCGTTTTGCTCACTTCTCTCAGCCTTGTATCCCTCTAAATCTTCAGTGTACATTTGACAAACACACAAACCCCTGTCTGGCTCGAGTGTTTCTTCTGTGTATTTACTTTATTGGTGAGGATGATTGGGACTGGGTGTTCTTATAAATCCCAAATATTTCAGCTGACAACACAGACACACAGCCGGTGTTAAAAAGATATGTCTCAATCCTTCTAGTGTCCTCAAGCAATTCTCTTCTTGATTTTAGAATAACATCATTCAGAGAAAAAAATGTACTTTGGCTGTATTACAAAATAAGCAGTGATGGATTCATCTAAAGTATGCTTTTCACAAATAACTCAAGTACTCAATTAGTGACAACAAAATAAAATATGTTATTGTGTAATGTGTGTGTTACAAGTTAAACACGTTTAAACTGTACCTTAAATCATCATCACTATTCATGCATCCTTATCGATACATCATTATCTGGATCGTTTGGTTTAAAAAATATTAATTCATAATGGAAACCAATATCATCATGTCTACCTATCTCTTGTGCAGCTGACACTATTATGATATACTATATACAATTGACAGATATGCACTGTTGACTGTCATACAATTAAAATCATGCCATGCGCTTCATTATACCGAGGAATTGCTTTTTAAGTCGTGAATAATGACCTTTCAACTTCATAACTGTGTCTTACACAAATATTTACCATATTGACTTATCACCTGTCACTTGCCATGCGTTTAGCATTTTACTTTCATAGTCCATTAATCTATCGGTGCATCCATTATGGACACTCAAGCATTCGGGAGGCTGTGCACACTCCATCGGGCCTATTAGCATGTTCCTTAATGGGAAACATGCTGCAAACACTGAGAATAAGCTGGGGCACTTAGAAACCTGAATGTGCTCTCAACACTGTCTTCAAATTGCAGATTTGCATAGAAGAGCAGTCATGCCACCTCTTCTCCAATTCTGTTTTTTAAACTACTAATAAAGACAAGGTCCCTGAAGGAGGCTTGGCATGGCTAGACAAAAGCGGGGCAAATCTCAACCCCATCCCTCTTAACATGCAGATTCCAAAATAACAAAAGATTATAACTAAATGAAAGTGTGGAGAAGACCTGGGTAAGCAAAGCTACACAATCCCTTTCATCCTATTATGTATTACAAAAGCTTAATCAATATCTAATCAAGGGGAATACAGCATGCCGTGTCTTACAGAGCTCTTTGCTGTCAGAGGTGAGGTTGCCATGGTGACTGGACAGGTGTGGGAGAGCTTAGGCTGCAGTGGTATTGATGGAAATTAAGAAGCATTGATGAGACTTGAAGATGCTGGGATTGAAAAGGGAGATAATTAAAGAGAGGGATGCAGCGGGGGAGAGGGACAAAGGAGATTTAGGTGGGAGATACAGGAGGTGATGCAGACAGGTGTAACTCGAGGCTTAGCTCGGCTTTCCACAGGAATTGCCTTCGCTACGATCAACAGCAAAGATTATTATAGAAAAAACAATGTCTTACAAGACCCGTTTATTTCTGTGTGAAATTAAAGTTGCATATTACTGTCAAGGGTTTCCAATTACCAGGATTTTCTTTTTGCCATAACATTACAACAACGATGGCAACTCAATTTATTTCTCAAGAATCTGACGAAGAAATCACACGCAGCAACAATTAAATGTGCAGCGGTACCAACTCAATATATGTCAATCTCTCTCATGACATAACAAGCAAAGCACCGACAGGTTCTTTTGAAATATGCCTCAAAATGCCTTGTAATTAAAATATCAATTACATTTGTTATGAAGCCAGGTTACAGAAATAAACGAAATTGAGGATATGGCTGAAAATACTTGTGAAAGTACATAATGCAAATTTGGTAAGTGATTTAATTCCAAACTTTTTTCAATTTGTGAATGTGAGGTCTTTATTCCTATTACAAATCATTGGCCTTTCCAATGAGTAAGTATCCACAAGGTTAATGCAGTTCCTATTCATTTGAGGAACGTTTCCAACAGTGGCGGATTTAGGATTGTAGGAGATCCGGGGCTTAGCCC